CGAGGTTCTCCAATTCACTGAAGTAGTAGGCAATCTGTTAATAATGTAGGTGGCAAATAAAAATGGCTCCCCCCAAAAATTCTTGGGCAAATGAGACTGAAAGATCAAGGCTCTTACAATTTGAAAAAGGTGTTTATGTTTCTTTTCTAGAACCCCATTTTGTTGGGGAGTATAAGGAGAAGTTTTCTGGTGTAAAATGCATTTCCAAAAAAAAAAAAAAAAGTTATGACACTCTTGGTTAGTGAATTCTGTCCCATTATCAGATCTCACACTTTGGATGACAGAATCAAATTGGATCTCAATGAATTTAAAGAAATTTGTCAGTGTGTGGGTGACTTGAGACATATGTGCTAATAAGAAAGTCCAAACACTTCTACTAAAGTCATCAACAATAGTAAGGAAATATTGTGCTCCTGTCAAAGATTTTTGGTTGTAGGGTCCCCAACATCAAGATGAAGTAGTTGAAAAGGTCTTGTGGACTTGGTTTTACTAATTGGAAAAGGTAACCTGTGTTACTTAGCTAATGGACAAACATCACAAGGAGGCAGTAATGAACAATCTTTTTTATTAATGAAATTCAAGTGTGACATGATTGTGGGTGAAATATGCCCAAGTCTCTTGTGCTAAAGTGAGGCAGCTTGCAAAGAGTTTTCATTAGAAACTGATTCAGTATTGTTATTACATGAAACATGAAAGGAACTTAGAGTACTATTTTCGAGTAACAATTTTTTGTGATAAGATATCAATTCTGGGTTTAGACTACTGGAATCCAAGATGTAAAGCCTTCCAATCACCTTTCGAACTGCCAGGAATGTTCGTGAAAGTTTGTTTACTGATAATAGATTATAATGGAATACTGGAATAGCAACACTTCAGTTAAAACAACGTTATTTGAGATTGCACATTGCCTGTATGTTGAACAATTTTGATCGATCCATCTGGTAAATGTACTGGTGTTATGGCTTTTGTGGGTTCTGGTTGTTCAATGAGTTTCATATCACAACACATGTGACTTGAAGCTCCCATATCTACAATCCAACTTTCATGCTCTAATAAACTAAGTATATTAAAAGCAAAATTGTGAATAGTTGTATCTGCGAAGTCATTGAAGTGTGCCAGATTTACCATCGTTCCATCAGCAGTGTTCTTCCCTTTCAACAATTTTCTCATCTCATTTTGAATTATTTCTTGAATTTTATTATTCAGCTCCATAGACAATGAACCATCTCTGCCCTTTTCTGTATCCAATGTTGCCTCTGCACAATTAGCAATTTGTTTAATACCTAATTTCCCTCTAGCCTTCATAAGATCTTTGTACCAGTCCGGCGTCCCATGAAAACATGTTTCCTTAGTATGGCCAGTGAAATTGTAGTGTGCGCATCCTAAAGTATTAAACACTTGTCAATTTTTTTATGCTCTTGTTTTCCCTTACTAGCATTGCGTGAATCAGTAAAGAGTTTCTTGTTACCTTGATTACTTGCTAACATTGCTACATTGTCACCGTTGTCTGTGTAAGCTATATGGACCTCCCTCTGTTTCTCTACTCTTAACATCATTGAATAAGCTTTATTTACAGTTGGTAGAGGTTCCTTAACCAGAATCTGATTCTGATATGATCATACCCTTCACTCAATCTCATCAAAAATTGTATTAGTTTACTAGAACAGTTATAATCTGTCATCAGTTTTGCAGCACCACAACTACACTCAGGTAATGGCTGTAAACATTGAAGTTCATCTCATAATTTCTTAAGTTCTGTAAAATACTGAACTACAGTTTGATTTCCCTGAGATATAGAGCGAATCTGACATTGTAATTGGTACAAAAGAGGACCATTACACTCCCCAAATCTTTCCCTCAATTCCTCCCAAAGTTCCTTGGGCTGAAGCGGTATAAAGAAATGCATCTACGATATCTTTAGAGATAGAGGTTAAAATCCAAGAACGTACCGTGCAATCAGCTCTAGTCCATCTACCATAATCGTCAGATCCCAACACTAGCTTCTGACATTTTCCATCAATAAAAACCCAGTTGGACCTTAGCACCAAGTGCTATTTTCATTGAACGACTCCACACAAGATAATTGTTTCCATTCAAAGGTGTAGAAACAAGAACCATATCTGGATGATCAGCAGATTGAAGAAACATAGATCATCGTTGTTATCAGCAGTGGAAGATCGCGCACCCCGTGGATCTCCAGCTAAACTCCTGAACGTTCCCTGCTTGTTTCTTCCATATTTCTGTCTCTCACAGACCCACTTGTTTAAAGCAAGAATATATTTCTGATTTGGATCTTATCTGCTCTAATACCATGAACAGTTTCAGAATAAAGAAACCCAATTGGGAGGAACAAACATTCTCAAATTTGTACTAAAACGTAATTTAATTTATTATTAAACCATGTAATCGAATTTTATTCCTCGTAAAAAAATAATTTCATTAGCTGACTGAAGTATAAAAGTTGCTTAATTCATTATTATTGTTATAAAAGTATAAAAGTATTATTAAACCATAATAAAAGAATTTTTTAATAAACTATTATATATATATATATGCACATATAAATTAATTAAAGACATTTGATTTACAATATAAGAGGAGAAAATTATCGATTTCAATCTTTATCTAAAACTCTGATTGCCATCATATTTTCACTGCCTATCAGGCCTCATCACATGTCTTCTGAATGGATAGATTAGATATTCACACTGATATACACACGTACATATACATATATTTATACAATAAACATGTAAAAGTACAAGTGGGGGATAGAAACGGAAAATGAAGTGTAGAGTTTTTCCTCAGCAGATCAAAGTTAGAACCGGCTGTGAAACCCTTTACACTGAAATAACCAGTGAGCAATAATGTTCAGAGTTCTGGACAAAACATAATTCATGTGGGTGGAAACCTCCTTTATAATTATGCTCTGCTCATCAAAGTCCTCTTCTCGTTTCAGAAGAATCTCTGAAAATAGCAAGTGCCTTAATGTAAATACAAGGAAGGTTCCATGAAGTGGAATCACAAATTCCAATTCCAATTTCAATTTCTTTTTTTTTATTTTCTAGGTGTATATATTTTCAAATCATTATTTAGTATTAGATTGGAAACTAGGAAGTGAGAGATTCATGAAAAAGAATTATCACAACTTTATTTTAAAAATAAATTTTTAATTAATCTATACATTTCATAATTAATGATCCGTAAACATCCATCATAATATAAATTTTTAATAAAAATACACAAGAATCTACAACCCTACTCAAATTTGTAAGGTTTTATAGAAGAAAAAAAATATCAATCATGCATCGCAATATATTTTTTAATAAAAATAATAAGAGTGCACAATTCAACTTAAATTTATAATATCTTATAAAAAAAATATATATCAATCGTACATCACAATATAATTATATTATAAAAAAAACGTATCAACTATGCATAACAATATAATTTTTTAATAAAAATACACAAAAATGCACAATCGGCCTCAATTTTATAATACCTTATAGAAAAAAATATATTAATCATGTATCACAATACGATTTTCTAATAAAAACATACAAAAATAAACAATCTAACTCAAATTTATAGTATATTATTAAAAAAATATATCAATTATGTATAATAATACAATTTTTTAATAAAAATGTACCATAAATCTCAAATTTATAGTATTTTATAGAAAAAAATGTATCAATAATGTATTATAATACA